GATGCAATTAAAACAATAAACAATGCAATACAATTCATGCATGAATTTCAATGTCAAATTCAAAAGGCCATAAAATCATGTTATTTGCATATCCAATATTTTACCATGATCAAAATAATATAACATTTCTTATCAATAAATTTACCATTTATCCCATAAGCTCGTAAGCTTATTTTACCAACATACTTATCATTTATTCCATAAGCTCGTAAGCTTATTTTACCAATATAATTGCCATTATTCCATAAGCTCGTAAGCTTATTTTACCAATATACTTGCCATTATTCCATAAGCTCGTAAGCTTATTTTACCAATATACTTGCCATTATTCCATAAGCTCTTAAGCTTATTTTACCAATATACTTGCCATTATTCCATAAGCTCGTAAGCTTATTTTACCAATATACTTGCCATTAACCTCATTTATCAATCATTATTGGAATCCATACATTCTATAGGAAATTCATACAATTTATGTAATTCCCTTTTAATATTAGCACTCTCAATGCTCTATCTGGTATGCTTCCCCTTTCATTTTAGCACACGAAGTGCCCTATTCAAAAATTCATACCATTAGTATGATTTTGTTACCATTTTAGCACATGAAATGCCCTATGTGAAAATCCACACCATTAGTATGATTTTCTTATCTTTGTAGCACCCTTAGTGCTTTATCTAGAAATCCATACACTCAGTATGATTCCCTTAGCATTTTAGCACATAAAATGCCCCTATCTGGAAATCCATATTTTCAATATGATTTCCTTATCATTTAGCACACTCCGTGCTCCATATGGAAATCTATACACTCAGTATGATTCCCTTACCATTTTAGCACATAAAATGCCCTATATGGAAATCCATATTTTCAATATGTTTTCCTTATCATTTAGCACACTCAGTGCTCCATATGGAAATCTATACACTCAATATGATTCCTTTACCATTTTAGCACATAAAATGCCCTATATGGAAATCCATTTTTTCAATATGATTTCCTTATCATTTAGCACACTCAGTGCTCCATATGGAAATCTATACACTCAGTATGATTTCCTTATCATTTTAGCACACAAAGTGCCATTCGGTAATCACTATACATACATCTATAAATTATGTTATTTTAACTATTACCACATGTATGCACATAATTAAATGCACTCACATTGACACTTTATAATTTCCAAAATATGTGCCTCACTATTGAAGCCCTTTTATACTTGACTTGCTTCAATTACAAATCAATCTTGATCTATATAAATCACAAATTCATAATAATACATATGTTAGTATTGTACTAACATAAACATATCCCATAACAACTCCATAATACACTTGAACTCATTTTCTATCAAAATACTCAATACTTAATCATTCCTATTAACATTGTAACAAATTTTTTCAATTTACTAAAAATGGTCTCTTACAATTTAACCTCAATTCCAACCATCCAAAAATATATTCAACATTTAAACATTACTCTTCATCTTCTAATCTATTTCCACTTAAATTCTAAAATTTCCATATTCAGACAATTCGCACTACCTTTAAAATATCAGTATTCTGTATTGATATACACACTAGAATTCAATTTCGTTTCTTCCGTTGAAAACTAGACTTGAATATGAATCTATCCATATAAAAAAACTCCTTCTAATTCAGTCTGTACAATTTATGGTGAATTTTCAAAGTTGACCAACAAAATCTGTTTTGCAGAATCTGCTGTCTGATTATTTTCTGACCTTACCTTTGTTAAAAATTATATCTTTTTGTATACACCTTGAAATTGATCCCCGTTTATTTTAAACAAAACTAGATCGATATATGAACACAAATATATAAAAATAACCTCCAAATTAGTTATATATAATTTATGATGAATTTTCAAACTCACTGCTAATTTCAAAATATAAATTGTTTTCTAGAACCTCATCCTTAGGTTTTTCATTAATTCTTACAACCAATTCTTTAAAATCACTTAACTCTTCATAATCCATAAAACACAAGAAATCAACATCCCCTTCATCAACGCAATATGAACTTGAACCCTAACAATATTATCATGCAATATTGGTACCAAATGATAGCGTTTTTTGCATATAATAATTTTCTATTTTCAGCATACTCAAAATCCTAAGGAAATTGCTTGAAAATTGAATTGAAGCTTTCTCTTACCTTAGGAGAACCCACATCTGTTTGGAGAAGAAGATGAGTATGTGAAATGAAATGTTAGGTACATTTCATCTTAATTTACATTTAATCTAACTTTAAATGAACAAAATATTCATTCACTTGAGATAAGACCAACTCACCCTTAATGAATCTTCCTATTCACCATAAAACTAATCCACTTAATCCTTATCATATTACAAAGTCAAATATGAATTAGTTTGACTTTTATTTTCGAAATTCCCCTTGAATTTTCAAAAATTGTGTTTTAGTCACTAAATTCCACTATTTCGGTTAAATCTGAAAAATTGCACATATCCATACCAAATTTCTCTGATCATAATGTTAAAATAATATTTCTAACCATTTAATAACATCCTTCAAATTTTTGTAAAATTCCAATTCGATCTGAAATATCGATTTCCTTACCGGCTTTAACCTTTTCAAATTTTCTTTACTAAATTCCAAATCCAAAAATATGATCTCTATAAAACTCCACTCTCAGGAGTAAACTATCTATTTATGGAATAAAATTCTTTTTAGTAAATTATCACTTAATTCCCTAAACTTTTTCCCAATTTTCTACTTTGGCCATCAAACTTTCCAAATTTTCATTTTGGTCATTGTCAAAATTGTTGGGGTATTACACCTTCGATTTTGCATCAAGTTTGGATCTCTTATCAGCAGGTACATGCACATAAGCAGGACAACTAAAAATCCGTAAGTGATCAAAAGTAACATCATGACCAGTCCATACCTCTTCTGCAACTTTCCCATCCAATGATGCCCTTGGCGATCTATTGATAAGATAACACGCCATGTTAACGACCTCATCCCAGAATTGTTTGGGAAGTCCCGCATTCAACCGCAAACATCTGGCTCTTTTATTCAATGACATGTTCATCCGTTCCGCAACACCATTCTGTTGTGGTGTCTTGCGCACTGTAAAATGCCTCTTAATCCCATGCTCCTTACAGAAGTGTAGAAACTGTGAATTTGTGTACTCCGTACCATTGTCAGACTGCAAACACTTGATTTTTCTTCTTGTCTATTTTTCTACCTCAGCTTTCCACAACTTGAACTTCTAAAAAACATCAGACTTCTGTTTCAAAATATAAACCCAAACTATCTGTGAAAAAGCGTCAATAAAGGTAACATAATACCTAGATCCACCCATAGACGATGTCGTAGAAGGCCCCCATACATCAGAATGCACATAATCAAGAATCCCTTCAGTTGTGTGCTTCGCAGTCTTAAACGAACTTTTGTCTGTTTACTAAGAACATAATACTTGCAAAAGTCAAGCTTACAACTTTTAACACCATGCAACAGATTTCTTTTATGTAATTCAACCATACCACGTTCACTAAGATGAGCAAGACCATATGCCACAGTTTGGTTGAATCATCACAGGACTCAATAGAATGAACTCCACCTACAACGGTACTACCTAACAATATGTAAATATTCCCTACAGTCATCTTTCCTTTCATCACAGTCATAGCTCCTTTAACAATCTAAATGGTTTCCCTATCCTCATCAGCCTTATGGATAAAACCATTCTTGTGCAAAGTGCCCAAAGAGATCAAATTCTTCTTCAAATCTGGGATATGTCGAACACCACCCAACGTCCGAACAGAGCCATCATACATCTTAATTCTGACATCACCAATACCAACAATATTGCAACATCGATCAGCACACAAATAAACAGAACCAAAATTAACCGACCTGTATGTCGAAAACCATTCCCTATTTGGCGTGATGTGATAAGAACATTCATAATCAAGAATCCAAACATCCATCAATTGAGTCGTTGAAATAGAGAGCATATCACCCTTAATGCAATCAAAATTGTCATCCTCGACCACATTCATAGACTTGGATGAGTCATCACGCTTCTCATCAGCATGCTTTTTCAACTTCGGACAGTCTCACTTCATATGTCTCACATCCTTGCACTTGTAACAATGAATTGTCTTCTTATCCCTATATTTAGATATGAAATTCCGCTTCCCAGACCCTGCCTTCTCTGGTTTCCGTCCACGGTCTCGATTACCCTTTACATATAAGTTATCAGCTTGAGAGCTTTCCTCTGCATTATGCTTCCGCTGGTTGTGAGCCAACAAGGCTGCAGTAATCTCTTCAACTTTGATAGTCTCTTTCCCATATATAAGAGTAGTCACCATGTGTTCGTAAGATAGAGGCAACGAACACAACAAAATCATCGCTTTGTCTTCATCCTTAATTTTCACATCAAGCCGAGCCAAATCAGAAACGATTTAATTGAAGATATTCACGCGTTGCGCCAAATCATGATCATCTTGCATCTTCAGCCCATACAACCATTGCTTTAGATACAATTTAGTCATTAAGGATTTGGACATAAACTGACTTTCCAACTTCTTCCAAATTTCATCTGGAGACGACAGATGCATGACGTGATACATGACCTCGTCCGCCAAATATAATCGTATGGTTCTTGCCGCTCGCTGTTGCAATTCTTCTCAATCTTCCTCCTTCATCAACGCTGGTTTTGTAGGTCGTAAAGCCTTCAGGATCCCTTGTTGCGCCAACAGATCATTCACCCTTGTTTACTATAATCCAAAGTTACCCTGACCATCGAATTTTGCAACTTCAAATTTTGCTCCTGACATCTGATACCAATTGTTGAAGAATCGGGTAAAGAAAAACGAAAGAACACAAGAATTTTAACGAGGTTCAGCAATGTGCTTACGTCCTCGGTGCCTAGGCGGCGCTAGAAGTTCTATTCAATGTCACATAGGTTTAGGTTACATCTATATTTATAATAAATAAACCCTGGTACATAATTACAAAATTACTAATTGTACATCATCTCTAGCAGCCATCGCGATGATATCAGCACAAGAAACAACTCCTTCACAGGCTGCTTCAAGCAATTCCTTTGCTTCATCAATTACATCGTAGCCACTGACATTTTGATTTGCAGTCGCGTTTTTCTCACTGGAGTCGCCGTTTAGCAGAATCGATGCATCACATCCCTTTGGAACAGGTAAAATCCAAGTGTTTAAAGCCCATTTTCTTTACAAACAAACAAAAAAGAAAAGGAAAATTCATGCAGTTGCTTACTTTGACGAAGCAATCATGGAAATGTAAACGAATGAGAGCAGCCGCGATTCCTTTTGCGTCTTTGAATCTTCGTTTGACAACTGAGAAAACAATGCCCTCAACGTTACTCGAGTTGCATTTACCCTTGTAAAATCCTACCCGGAGAGAAGCGTCGCACTGGCCTGTGAAATTCACAAGGATGACACCAAGTGCTAGATAAAACGCAGCTTCTGTTACTCAAGTTAATATCTTCATTTTTGTTGTTGTTGTTCTGAAAGATACAGAGAACCTCCATTTTTATACAAGTAGGAACCGAAGTTAGCTTCTAATTGAATGGAGAGCACGACAAGCCTTGAAGCAGCGGCCGGCTAGCATAGTTCAATTTGTGTGTCGTGTTCAATAGTTTTATAAACGTGCTGTCATGTTTACTTTGAGCAAAACATGCAAAATGGCATTCCATGGAAAACAAAAGCGTTGAACGAAATCTGGGAGTGTCAACACTGGATTTCATGGAAAGAGTTGTATTTTAGAAATTTTCAACGCCACCAAATTTCTAGAAGGTGCACGTCCAGTATGTATTTTTTGTGTGTGGAAATGAATAAATTAATGACTGAAAGATAAATCATTCTATTGAAATTAAATAATCAACCACCTGTATCATGTTATCGTAATTAATTGAGCTTCAAACCTTTATCTCGTCCATTTATACATTTATTTTCATTTATTTCTGGCCTCTATCAAATTTAATCGGTTTAAAATTATTATTAACTTTTACTTTAATACTTCAATTATTTTTATCTAATATTGGTATATAAATTTTTTCTTGTTTATTAGAGTTTTGCATAAATACAAAAAATTAAATTGGATTCAACTGTTCATGGATCATGGAGGAATAATTGTCTTACAAGTAAAATTGTCTTATATATGTAATCCCTGATATGGAAGGTTTCTCTGAGATTAACACAATCTTTTAAAATTTTGTACAAAAATGATGATACGACTCTTCTCAAAACTTTGAAGAAAATAGAGAACTGTTTAGATGATTAGAGTGAGCACAAAAATTCTTTATTTATAGACTATGAGAAAAAAATTAAAATATTAGAAAATATTCCATTAAATTTGATTAATGGGTTGTTTCTACGAAGATTATGTGTGCAAAACATGCCAATGATACACAATTATCAAGATCACGACAACGAATCAATTGATAACATACACATATAAGGGACTGATACTCAATAAACAGAAAAGAGAAAAATGATAATATATAAATTATAATCACTATTTTTCTTTTTTTTTTTTCATGCGAAATTAATTTCACATTTCTAACATTTTCAATAATACTCATACATTATATTATCATAAAATTTATTAATGTTTTAAAATTTAAAAAAATATATAACACTTCAAACCAAACACAAGGGTCGGTTTTCAAAGTAAAAGTGTGTGGTAATTTGATTTATTGAGAGGAGCCTGGAATGGTCCAACTTTATTAAGAAATTCAAGGGGCTCTGATCTTTTATGCTTTTCTTGATTAATCAATAAAGAAAAAAATGATATCTTCTTCATGCAAGAAGTAAAATACAAAGCCTTTCTTTTTTATAAAAAATGTTGAAGATAAAATGGAGAAGTCGGGCCAAACATGCACTAACGAGCATGGGAGATGATAAAAAAATAATAATCATAATTATAATATTGTATGTGGCGAATAACTTTTTGTAAAGGATAAAACGATGCTTTCTGCAAGAAACAACTGGGCTCATTTATTCTACTTATTTATTCAATTCTTATCTTTTTTAATATAACGTATATTTATAATTATTTATAAAAAAAATAAATATTCAAATCAATTATATATGTAGAAAGTATGTCTTATTAGATATTTAAAAAACATTTTACTAAAATATATATATTTTTATTTATTGATATCATATTGTCTAGGTTGTTAAGATTTATATTAATTATAAGTGGGTTTTGGATTCGAACCTTATTATAAGCATTTTTATTTTTCTTGCATGTAGGTTAAATCCAAGAAGTAAATTAAAAAATAATATTTGTCGTAAAAGTTCTTCGGGTAGTCCTGGGATCAGATTCCGACTTGAATTGATGTGTGTTGGAGCCGCCACCGATCATTTTAAATTAGGTTGATCAAACACCTTAACTTACCTTTTATTTGATCTACGTTTTACAAGAAATTTGTCGAATTCGGGAGTCGATTACAGCCAGAGAATGATTAGCACCCCTGCACTGCCCTTTAGGTACCAATTTGATTTCTCAGTTGTCTTAATTGTGAAAATTAAAAGTTAAATTAAAATTTAAAAGTTCAATCTGAATTACTTACCTTTGACGAATTTTAAAATTTTCGTAAAAAATAAATCAAATTAATGTTAAATAATAAAATAAAATAAAAATATTAAATAAATAAAAGAATTAAAAGAAAATTCAAATTGAAAAAGAATTAAATTGAAAAGAATTAAAAGTCAATGATCAAATTGATGTTAATTGAAAGCTGCAAGGAAAAAAATAAAAAGTTAGGGGGTTCAAGGGCAAATTTATAACATGTGACCAAAATGAATTACGCATCAAAACTACAGGGACTGCAAAATAATTTAAGAATTTTATAATTGCACAATAACCCTCCCTATAAATAGCTTTTTAACAAAAAAAAATTCATTTCAACATAATTCACAAAAAAACCTCTCTCTCTCCTAAACTCTCTCCCCTCTCTCCTATAGTCGGTCGAAAACCAGCCACCCGCCGGTGACCACCCACTGTTCGGATCGTCGTTCCGGCCACCAAAAAACCTAAAACTACCCCGAAACCTTCCTCTTAACACCCCGAAACCAAATCCAACCTCAAAACATCTAGAAAACCCCCTGGTTAGTGTAGATCTGCGCTAAAAGTTTTGATTTTTACCTTTCCCGGTGACCACTTTTCGAACTCTGGTGACTATTCTCTCCTCCAAGCAAAAACTGAGGCCGAGTCTTGGTTTTTTTGTTTTTTGTAGTATGCGAAATGCTTTTTCCTTTGCTTGATGCCTTGATGCTTCAATCTTTGATGCTTGGTTTTTTTGTTTCGATGTTTTTTCCTGTGTCTTTTATTGTTCGACTTGCAGGGGTTTATATAACCCTTCGACGGTGATTTTCTCTGAGAATAATGGGGTTGTTTCCCCCATCTCCAATTTGTTATGGTTTGTTACTATTCATGTTGGCCGAAAATGACGGGAAATCTCGATTTTGTTTCGATTTTTTGATTTTGAATGCTTCGGTTTAGCGCGTAGTGGCAACCTTGTCGGCATGTGGTCTTCACGCGCTGTTGATCGGCGACTGTTGGGTTCCTCTAGTGCGTTTTCGATCATTGGATCAAAGAGTTAGATCCAACGGCTCTAGTTGATGTGGCGCCCAAACTAAACACAAAAACCCTAATGAACCTTCTTTCCAACTGAGCTTGCTTGGTTGGGTTTCACTCTGGACCCGAATTTGGACCCAGATTTTGACCTAAAACCCACATATAAAAATAATAAATTAATATATATAATAAATATAATATAGTATATAATATATCATATAAATATATATATTATACTACAATATATATAATATCTACTATTATAATATAATATATATATATATATAATATATACTATATATACTATATATTATCCCAGACAAAAATAGGTGTCTACAACTGCCACTCTTTGCCCATTTATCGTGTAATAAAAAATAGGACAAAGATAAAAAGACACAAATTTTCTTTCGGTACAAGTGGATTTTGAAAGCAAGCATGTTCCTGTGAATGTCGTCGTTCTCTAAGTTTAAAATCCGACTCAATGTTGTAGTCAACTCTTTTTATCAAATATCCTCCGTCGTGAAGTTGAAATTTGACTTGAAAATAGAAGATGGTTTCCTGCTGTTTAGCTGAGTTTCGGATAACTCCTTCGTAGTGAAGTTGAGATTTGACTAGACGACCGTAGTTCGTTGATGAGTTGAACTATGTTGTGGATGACTCATTCGTTGTGAAGTTGAGTCGATATCAAATGACTTTGAGCACGATATCCTTCATCATGAAGTTGAAACCGTGGTTGACCCTTATTCGTGAAGTCAAGTCAATCTTGAATGGCTTGAGCATAATATTCTTCGTCGTGAAGTTTAAATTAAGCTTGAAATCTACATTGGAATGTAGATCATCGTTGTTGAGTTAAGCTAAATTGCAATTGATTTTGGGTCTTCTTCTAGTCCAATATCTTTCGTCGTGAAGTTGAAATTTGACTTGAATGCCTTGGTTTGAAAATAGCTCATCGTTGTTGAGTTGAACTATGTTGCGGATAACTCATTATAGTGAAGTTGAGTCAATTTTGGATGATTTGAGCATGATATCTTGCGTCATGAAGTTGAAATCAAGTTCGAAATCTGAACTGGAAAGTGGATTCTTGTTGTCAAATCATTGTCAACCTTGGTCTTCTTCTTGGCTTAAAGACATCGGTTTAAAATTCAACCGAAAAGTAGTTCCTCATTCTAATATTTTTTTGTCAAATCCTAATTCTAATCCTACCTAGAAGGGAGAGAAAGATCGATGGATTCTAAATGAAGAAAAGGGTGCTCCTAGTGGATCTAAAACTCACGATTTAAGGGAATAGGAAGAAATAAAGATGAGTAACTTAGTAAAGTGATCAAATGTGTTTGTTGGATTGGTAATTTTTAAGTGTAAGATTTTGTAAAAAAAGAAAAATTAAACTATATAATATAAATATTTGGTGTGATTGAAGCAAACCACATCAAAGTGTTTGCTTAATAATTGGGTCAGTGATCCTTTTGGAGACTGTTAACAATAACCAACTTTCTATTCTTTAATTAATTCATAACAAAAGTTGAAGGCTCGTAGTCTATTTCCATATAATGTTAAACTTTTAATGAAGCAAAACAACGTATAAAGTCATATATATTTCGCGAAGTGGGAAGAAATTTAATACCCACCAACTCATCCGAAACCTACTTCACTTTCAAATGACTACTGCTTTCAACTCTTTTTGATAGGCTATTCGTCTCGTCAATTAAAGAAGTAAAGACATCAACAATCAATTGATTTAATAATAATATATTAAACTTTTTAAACAAGTTAAAATAATTTAATTTTTTATATCATGAATAAAATAAGGCGTTTTCCCCGATATATCACATTTTTCATTTAATTTTTTCTGTCAGGCACCCTTCAGACTATTTTTCCCGATCTAACACCATTTGCAGTAAGGCGCACTCCCTGCAGCGCGCTTTATGCTGATATGGCACCACGTGGGGTAAGGCGCGCCCCCTGAAAAGCGCCCCCTGAAAAGCGCCTTATGCTGACTGGATACACGTGTGTAAAGCGCGGTGCAAATACCTCGCCCTACCTGCAAATCTGACACACGTCAGAAAGGCGCGCCCCCTGCGGCGCGCCTTAGGTTTAATTACCTACCTACCCCGACCGTTCACACTCATCCCTCCCTATAAATACCACCATCCTCAATCACTTTCATCACACCAAATCCTCTCAACTTCCCTAAACTTCTCTAAACCTCTCTCAAATACTTTTACATTCTCTGTTTAAGGTATATTTTATTATATTTAAGTATTTAAATTATTTAATATTGTATTTAATTAATTTTTTTACAGATATAAAATGGATGGCGGTCTGCTTCGCTTGGATGGAAATCATATATCTCGACATTTTGCTGATACGGTAACATTTTAACGTTTTAATTTAATTTAAATTAATAGTAATAATTTATTTATTTAATGCATGATTATTAGTTTAAAAATTAATTTTTGTAATTATTTATATTTTAGGAGAGAGACTGTATATTAGATCCTTTTATTAGGAACCTTAAGTTAGTGATATCTGGCCGTGTCATGCCGTATTTAGTAGAGGCTGGATTTGGTCACATAGGTAGATATGAGGGTCACTGTAAGATAGAACCAGACCTTATTGCTGCCTTAGTGGAGCGGTGGAGGCCGGAGACCCACACATTCCATCTTCCGTACAGAGAGTGCATGATTACACTTGAGGATGTTTCTATGCACTTGGGGCTTTCGATGGATGGAGATGTGATATCAGGGATGTCGCACGGTTCATGGACTGCTTTGTACTGGGACTATCTAGGACGTGTCCCGGAAAGTTTTAACGGTGGTCGGATACTGTTAAATTGGTTAGATACCAATTTTTGGGAGTTGAGCGAGGACGCCTCTGATGATGAAGTTAAAATGTATGCACGGGCATGCATACTGCAGCTGATAGGAGGGTTGTTGATGCCAGACAAATCGCGCAACCAAGTTTATTGTATGTGGTTGCGACATCTTGACGACTTTCATCTGGCTGGATCACTCAGTTGGGGCTAGGCAGTTTTGGCTTTCCTGTATAGGGAGATGTGTCGCACGATTGACTACAGAAAAAATGCTATCGGCGGATGTCTCTTGCTACTGCAGTCTTGGGCGTGGTATCGATTGCCCTTTTTATGTCCCGTTGTCAAGAACCCATTCGTATTTCCACTACTATTGAGGTAATTATAAAACTGATTTCGTATATTAATCATTTTATACAGTGTATAATAAATTTTGTTTCCTTGAATAGTTGGTCTACTGATAGGAAAAATCATCAGGAGCTACCTGATGATTTAGAAAAAAATGAGGGTATTAATCAATCAGAAGGCTGGCACACATGTATGTATATTTGTTTAAAAATCGATTTTAGATTATAGTTGTATAATTAGATTATTATTTTGATAAAAATTATATATATTTGTTTTAGTTTGAATGGGTGTCATATTCTAATGATGATTTGAGGATGGTAATCCCACCTGAGTTGAGGGGCCCATTAGATGTTTGGATGGCGATGGTCCCTTTGATCTGTTATGCGATCGTCGAGTATCACTCCACTGATCGTGTGCTTCGGCAATTTGGTGGTTTTCAACCAATTCTGGAAGCATCTCGCAATATGGATGAGTTGCATAGCACAAATAGATGCGACAAGACCGATACAGATTGGCTGGTGAGGCATCACGAGTAGGTCGTGCTGTGGGATGATCGACATCGTCGTCTTCCCTGTAGAGAGCACATTTTTACTGACTTCTTGATGGTTGCTGACGGTTATTACGAGTAGTTCAACAGTAACGGGAAACCGTTTCTGCTTTCCGAGGATGCACGAGGGCGGACCTTTCAGCGACGTCGACAGAGACGTTCACCGACACAGCACCATTGTCCCCCAACTCGTAGACGGAGAGCAGGTGCTTCCGATTCATCCTCAGCTGCACCAGCAGGACCTTCACAGCAGCCACAGTCTACAACGACTTACCTTCCGTAGCCATATGTAATGTCGCCATCGTCGTTCCCTTACCTGATGTCTCCGCCATCACTGTCACATGGTTTTATGACCCTGTCGCCACCACTGTCACAGAGTTTTATAACCTCCTCCTGGAGGATATTATGGATCTATGTTTGTAGATTTGACTTGGGGTTCATATACCCACATTTTGGCGGGTTCAGCCTCATCACCCATGGCTGCAGCACATACACCTCCTGTACAGTTTTCACACTCAGTTTCACTTACACATGCTCACAATTAATTGATGCTCATTATTCTTCTTGTACCTTCCATGGTAGTTTGCAACAATGTTTCAGAGACAATACCTATGTTGGACAAAGGTTGGTTGCCACATTGGACCCAAAGACTCCATTGCTGCTTTGATCCCAGCTCCGCGATCTGAAATGACACAGATTTTTTCCCTCGTGATAACATGTGCACGTAAGTTTTGGAGGAAAAAGCTCAAGAATCTGTATCTTCTCCTTCGATAAGAGAAAAAACAACTGGAAGAATGTTGCGATTGCCATCTTAGACAACTACCAATAATAAAACTTACTTGTATTTTCCATACAAGAAAGTGCCGTCGATCTAGACCACAGGCTTGCAGTATTTGACAACATTAACACACTATGGGTAAGTCTAAAAAACCCGGTAGAATTAGCATCGATCGCGTAGAACTTGATTATTATGGTATGCATACGAGGTTTTGAAGTCCACAATTGTCCCATGATTCAACGTCCGCACCAGCCTAAACCAACATGAAAGTTCGTTGTAAGATGCATCTCATTCGCCATGAAGTTTGACAATGACATTTTGTTTTGCTAACTAAGCTTTTTTATAGGAGATAGTGTATCAATACTGCGTTTGTATAGCTGAAATCAACACTGCAAAAGTTATATGAGAGCTTGCTTTTACCATGGGCATGATGGCTTGGCATATCATTTCAGAGTCCAAGTTGGGATGATCTTGGTTGACCCATCTAGCACAACATGTGTGAGGACCGTTGTATACTGTTAGTTCTCATATGTTGTTTTTTCTCTTCTTCTTTGATACGTGAACCATCCAATTGCATCCATTTTTGCGTCGGGCACAGTAACATACATATTTTTCGGTCGTGGAGCAGTCGACTCTGGACTGAACAGAATTACGAATATTGTAATTTTTTATAGCCATCATCGCTTCTTCTTTGCTTGAAAACTCCATTCCTAAAGATAACTTACCATTATTTATTGATAAGTAATATCCATAGTCATTGAGATGAGGCATATCCGCAAATTCTGGCCCGTACATTGCACCATAATCAACTTCATACATGTGTGCAGGAGGGTCAGTTTGTGCCATATTTCCTGGAACTTTATCTACATCATCATCATCGGAGTTGAATTGCGGTGATTCTGGGTGAATGAATAGTCCAATCTCAGCACCATCTGCACCAAGCTCACGAAGCGGTTCTTCTGGTGGAGATGATGGTTCCTCCATGCTCTCCATATTTAGGTCAAAGAACCTACTACTTGCACGTCTTCCCCTTGAAATGGAAGGTATATCAACATTGAAATAAAAAAAGCTTGCAGTCGAATGCCTCCCACTAGAGCTTGAAGTCATCGTGTCAAATGGATAGTGCACAGATTGTTGCGTCGATGACATATCTATATTAAGGTCAAAGGGATTTGCAGATGAATGTCTTGCCCTTGAACTGCCCATGATGTTGCCATACGGATTGTTCGTTGACCCACCTCGGTACATATCGTAAGGAGTTGCGGATGAATGTCTCCCCATTATGGCATTAAAATCATTACACATTATTGTCTTCGGGCTGTCAACTTGTTCAGCCATGTAACACCCTCAACCTGTATCCGACCCGGATCCGAGTCTGAGGTGTCACATTGACTTTTTAAAACATTTACTTGTATAAAATAGTGAGTAATTTAAAACTTTTATAACATATAACTTATTCAAAACGTTTACAGAACTATTCAGAGCTTATACACTATATTCTTTTGAGTACATACCAACTAGAACTTTATATATATATAATACATATTATTCACCTCTCTTTTAATCTGACCTTCAGTAAGGAGAACTGACCTGTCTTGCTCCACATTTCTCTTTACTCTTCTTCTCGTTTCTGTAACCTACGTGTGAAACAATCACACGCTAAGTCTATGACTTAGTGAGGCAATAAACATATAATGTAAACTATAACTTGTAATCATGCATGAACAATTATTACTATCACATCATACCCAAACATATATCCATTCATATTTCTATTATCTTGTTTATATGATCCATTATGTTCATATCATATATCTTATAACATATACAATAATCACTAACACACATATATCATATCATATAATTCATATCACAAAACGCACATATATATATATCACATACATTGTATTCAATGTTATCTCTTATTAGCCCATATACACATGTCACTAATTCTTTTTATCGTATAAACATATACTAAACATTTCTATATACATCATGGTACACATATATCAGTTCACAATCGAACACACATCATATCATATTAATTGATTTATTTACTCTCTTTAAAGTCTATGTATTAGCCCATGTATACTTTTGAGAACTTAAGGTATGTGAGTACATTGAGGTTGTGCACCACTATGTTGTAACCACAACTCGTATAAATGTCCCGAATGACCTATCCAGAGGTCATAAAGAACCTCGGCAACTGTCCATAGATCAACTTATATTACATATTCCTATAATTACTTATATTAATATCACATAACTCATATCATTTCACACTTAGTCACATGGGTCATTTCTCATAGCATATAAAATAACATATAAACTTATATATGTATTCATGTGTATACTTTCATCTAGCCTATATATCAATGTCATATAACTTATCTCATAACTTATTTGATATTCTTATATATTCTCATCTTATAACTTATATTGCCTATGCATATAACCTTATGACTTATTATCAAGTAACTCAATTAATGTTCTTATATGGTTCCATCTTTATCATATAACTTATGAGCTATTCTTATATTATCCTAGATCAACCTTACTTTATTTATCTCACTTTTCATATCATTCATTTATCACATATAACATGACTTAATATATGTTTGTATTATTTTTCACCTAATCAAATCTACCTCTTCTCATATATCTCATACATAATTTAACTTATATCATATTATCATGTGTACATATACCATTGACACTGAACATGTATCAAATAAACATGTATTCACACATATTATTAATACATGCAACAATCAATAACACAAATGTAACATATCAAACATATGCTCGTATTAATGAATTCATGCATTTTACTATAGGAAATAGACTTGTCACAAGTCTTATTTACATTCAATATAATACACTATCTAATATGCACTCACCTTGGCCTCACTAAGTTCCAATCCACTTTTATGATTTCCTCTCTTTCAATCGAATCTTAACTTGATAATCGTTTCGGAACTTGTTTGTGTTCGATATCTACATAATCATATATTGATACATATTAGTATCCAATTAATATACTCTAATCTATCATTTCTTAGACCAAAAGAAAGGTTTATTTTTATTTTCCCTTGAAGTGCATCGATGCACTCCTTATGCATCGATGCACTAATTACATTCGATGTTTCCCTTTTTAAGGGGTGTATCGATGCACTTCCTATGCATCGATACATACTGAATAATTTCTGGAAATTTACCCTTGATGCATCGGTACAAGATGAATGTGTACTGATGCACACTAGCCTAGAATTCCAATTTATGCCCGAAAATCCACTCTTTTTAGCTTAATTACTTCATATATCATCCTCTTTCTTATTCTTAACTTACATACTCATATTCAAACTCATTTCTATTCATTAATCACCTCTTTAACATCAAAATCCTATTTTCCATATGTAATTCAAGAATTACACTAAATTTTCAACATGTTCCAAATTCAATTCGTTTGGTTCTAATTTCTTAATTAGACCATTGACAAGTCAACTTCATCCTTAGAACTTCAAAAACCTTTTTATAATAAAAGTTCATTTACAAACTCTCAATAGAAATTCATTTCTAATTCTCTCTTCTTGGTGTTTTAATCTTATATAAGCTTTCCTTAAGCTTATGTAAACCCCAAAGACTCAAATCCAACTTAAAAATTCAAGAAATCAACAGCTAAATCAAACTTACTTTTTCTCTTGGCTTCCACGTGAAGAAGAAGAAAGGAGAAGAAGAGAATTCTGGAGAAATCTCTCCCTTTCCACGTGGTTCCCTTTTCTTATAAAGGAAGAATAAAAATATTGCTTGTCAATTGACCATTTTACCCTTTAATTCATTCCATAATTACTAATTAACCTTCATCATATATTTCCAATAAATCATTGAACTATTTAATTATCCTACTTTAATCACCAATTTCTGAAAATTTTCAATCTAGTCACTAACCCGATATTGAGGATGTTACAAATCTCCCCTCCTTTTAAGAAAATTCATCCTCGAATTTTCACTGAACATATTAATAAGAACATATCTTCTAATGTTCTCATGTTACCTTCTTTACTTAGTCTTTCATTCCTTTAGTTCTTCAACTACCTTTTTCCCTTATATATTCATCTACTGTCACTTATCATATAAACATTAACTAGTAACTTTAATCCATTTATATCTTTTCTCTTCTTCCATTATGCATTTTCCTTTGACCATTTCTGAAATTTCATATAATGTCACTAATCACGTAGATAATAACATCCATTTTCATCACTTAACCTCATAAATCCATCTTTAATTATCTTATAACAATAACCAACTCATTTTCCAACATCATTTGACCGAGAACACAACATTATATCTTCTTTAAATATAATTAACATACACTTTAAAGAATCTTTTCACATCATCTTGCACACTTTTCTTACTTCTATATCAAAATTCTCATCTACACTTTCATATAACCTTTATCGTATCTGATCCTTTAACTAATCCCTTTCATATCTTTATTCCATTATTCCTTTATTTATTCCTTATACCCAAATCATATCTTTCCTTTCATGT